CTTTTATAGCACAAGTCATCTGAAGGAAAAGTGGTCAATGATGTATTTTCTCTTTCATAGTTCAAATAACTGTAAAAAGAGGAGGGGAGTTTTGAGGGCAGAGATAAAAGGTGCCTAGTCTTCTTGCTGGATTCCAGATGAAATCTCTCCTTCTAAATCATATCCTTTCACTTCAAGAGATTTTTTCCTCCGACCTTCCCCATCGCACACTTTTTAGGACTTTAGACTCATTGATCTTCTAAAGCTCTTGATGGCACTTGGCCGCCCCCTAGTGGCCAAATCCTCTACGTGACAGAAGTCTTCTGCGATGCTGGTGTTCGGGTGGGAAGTGTATTCTTATTTGTAACTTACTTTGGAACGTGTAAAAAGACAAGAGGATGGATCAGTGGATGAGTAGAGAGATGCGTGGGTGCTTACATACGTGATGGAGCAGGTCCAGCGATCCTAACTGTAGAATCCAGGGGGATGAGCATACGGGTCACTGCACCATTCTTTCAGCTTTTCTGAGAACATTTATATAATAAAACACTGGATAAATATCTCTCTGGTAGGCTCTGGGAAACAGGAAGGAGAAATAGACTTCTTCAGATGAGAAAATGCATTGTCAAGAGAGCTGCAGCAGAAGGAATGTTCCAAGAAGTTATTATTTTTTTCTTTTTTTAAAGATTTTATTTATTTGACAGACAAAGATCACAAGTAGGCTAGGAGGCAGGTAGAGAGAGGGAGGAAGCAGGCTCCCCGCTGAGCAGAGAGCCCGACGCGGGGCTCGATCCCAGGATCCCGAGATCATGACCCGAGCAGAAGGCAGAGGCTTTAACCCACTGAGCCACTCAGGTGCCCCCCAAGAAGTTCTTTGGGTAGGAGAGAAACGATAGCAAATGGAAACCTGGAATGACACAAAGGAGTGAAAAACACGGCAAATGGTAAATATGAATTGGTTTTCCTCATTAAAAATATCTTTAAAAGACAAGTGAGTTTTTAAAGCAGAAGTAACCACATATTCGGGGTGTATAACTTACGTAGAAGTAAAAGGCATGACAAATAACACAGACGGTGGGAGGCGGAAATGCAAGCCCCCTGGTGAACTTCTTGCTCTGTACGGGCAGAGGCATATTATTTGGAAGTAAATTGTGATAAACTAAAGGTATATATTTTACATCCTATACAAATCCCTAGTTTTGTTGGCTATGTCAACATGCCTTTCTCAGTAATTGAGAGAACAAATGGAAAGAAAATCAGTAAGGATATAGAAAATTCAAACAACCATCAACCAACGTCACTTAATCGACATTTGCATAACCCTCACTGCAACAAAAGCAGAATGCCCATCCTTACAAGTGCACAGAGAATATTTAACAAGATAGACCACATTTGGGGCTGTGAAACATGTTTCATTAGATTTTAAGAAGGTAAAATCATAAAAGTGTGTTATCTAATTGCAGTAGAATGTAAGTAGAAGTCAAGAAGGGATAGCTGGAAAATCTCACCTATTTCAAAATTAAACAACACAGTTCTAAGTAACCCATGGGTAAAAGAAGAAGTCATAAAGTAAAGTGGAAAATTCATTGAACTGAATGAAAATGAGTACATGTGTCTAAACATGTGGCTATAGCTAAAACAGCGTTTAAAGGAAAATTCACAGTATTCAATGCTCGTGTGTTATAAATGAATAAAGGTCTAGAATCTGTGATCTGGGATTTGACCTTAACAAAAAGGGAGGAAAAAGAGAGCAAGTTAAGCCCAAAGTAAGCTGAAGAAAGGAGATAACAAAGATAGGAGCATTAATCAATGAAATTGAAAACAGAAAAATAACAGAGAAAATCAATGAAACCAAAAGTTGGTTCTTTGTAAAGATCAATAAAATGGACTAACCGGTAGCCAAACCAATTAAGAATGAAAGAGAGAACACACAAATCACCAATATTAAGACTGAAAGAGAAGATATCACTAGAGATCCTACAGACAGTAACAGGATAATAAGGGAATATTACAAATGACTTTATGCAGATAAATTCAACAACCTGGATGAAATGAATACATTCTTTGGAAGTCATAAATTACCAAAGCTCATTCAAGAAAAAGTTAATAGCCTGAATAGTCCTATATGCCTGTTACAGAATTGAATTTGTGGTTACATCCTTCCCATAGAAAATTCCAGGACCAGTGGCTTTATTGGTAAATTCCGCCAAACATTTGAAGAAGAGACTATATCAATTCTATACAAACTTTTCCACAAAATAGAAAAGGAGTAGGGAAGACAGAATCCAAAAACAGACCCACACATATATGGTTAATTGATTTTCAACGAAGGCTCCAAGGTAATTCAAAGGGGAAAGGAAAATCTCTTTGTGAAAATGGTGCTAGGCCACGTGGATAATCAAGAAAGAAGTAAAGAAAGCCTCGACTGTCACCTCACGCCACATGCAAAACTTCACTCAAAAGGGATAGATCTAAAAGAATTCAAACCATAAAACTTCGAGAAGAAAACAGGAGAAACCCCTGTGACCTTGGGTTAGGAACTGGTAGTCTTAATTTACAAGTGAGGACTCAGTCATAGAACAGGATAAGGAACTTGCTGAGGTCACATAACTAGTTAGGGAGCAGAACTAGCCTTTAAAAACTTAAATTCATACTCAGATTTAATGTACTTGACTGGCAAGAATTTTGAGCTTTGTGTGGAAATGAATGAAAATGCCCACCATGGCTCCCTTCTCCTTCACATTCTGCTCTGTTGGTAGATGTATGCAAGCCCCCTCCCATGTGGCTTCACTCGCCCCAGATGTGAGCACTGCTGTCCACCACCACACAGACCACTGCTTTCCACTGTCCTGGGCCGAGTTGCAGTCCCTGAGCCCGGCCCGTGCTCATAATGTTCTCCTCTCCTCTGCAGGCCTACTTCCTGCTTATCCTTCAAAGATACTCGTACCTCCTTTGGGAAGCCCTTCTTGATGCTCTCAGCCTGCAGGTCTCCCCTCCTCTGAGGTCCTCTGGGCTTTCTAGTGCTTCTGTTAGTCTTATCTCCCTTCCAGAAGGTGGGCACCTTGTGGGCAGGTCTCATGTCTGAGTTGTCTTTGCATCTCCCTGCATGGCGCATGCTCAGGGCCAGTCGAATGAATGAATGTATCTTGAGAAGCCATCATGGGTTAGGGTCTTTTGTCTTTGGATCTCCTTGGAAGGTCAGGCCCCCATTCCACCCTTAGAAATGTAGAAAGGGCTCTTTGCTCATCCTTGTTCTGTGAGTCCCTGTTCAGGGCCATGCAGGGCACAGACACCGGGTCATCCCCTCTGTGCAAACCCCCTCTCCTCCCGACACCACAGTCTGAGCTGAAGCCCTGTCCTTCCCGCACTGCAGGACCCCACAGCACAAAAATTGCTTAGAACGGTTCATGCGGGCAGAGGTGTTCAGCCACTGCCTTGCAGTTTCTAAGAACTTCTTTCTTTGCTCCTGGCCCCACTGTGGCCTGCTGCGGTAGCAAGGCAAAGATGGCAAGAGAAAACCCAAGGAAAACAGCTCTTTTGTAGGTTTTTCTGGGGAGGGTAGGAATGAGCTGTGGCCTGTACAAAGTCATTTAGTCCATCCCCCTGCCTCTGGGAGCACTCTTGGTCTCGTTTGGGTGGAAAGTTCTCTCTGGCATCCAGAGATAACCCATTGCCTGGGCTATGTGTTCCCATGCCTCAGAAATGTGTTTTTGACACCCACCCTCCATCTCCCCTTGTGGCCTGTGCTCCCCTCTTCCTGTGTCTGCAGTCAGGTGTGAGAGGAGACAGGGGAAGGCAGAAGCCTGCATCCCAGCCTCGGGAGTGAAGAGCACATGGTGTCAGGCCACAGGCTAGGCCTTGGAGCCGACACACTGGGACAGAGTGGGGCTCAGCCTTCCTGGGGCTCCCTCCTTCCTTCTCACCCACAAGAACTCTGGAGTGTTTCCTGGGAGCCTGGGAGGTTCGGGGGCCTTGAGGAAGGAGAAGGACAAGAGTTTCTGCAGGAGGTCATGTAGAGGTCCTTCTCTGGAAAGGGAGGCGTCCCATCCTGTGTGTGACACCGGGCAGCTGGGACTGTGGAGGAGGTGAGCAGGTGCCCACAGAACCCTGAATGAGAGCCAAATCCCCACACATGTGGTGGTCTCCCTCAGCACCTTCTGATAGGGTCCCCAAGATCACATCCTGGAGTAGGGTTTTCCTCAGCCCAGACTCTTCCTGGCCCCAGGAAGGGATAGACAAATAGCGGTCTCAGGCAGCCCTGGCTCCGGGTCCCCCACACTCTAACACCCAGGAAAGCCTCTCGCTCTGTTGCTCACAGGATTTTTGCCAGCAGCGTGAGGGACACATGGGTGAGGAGTGAAGGGTGTGTCTCTCCTCCATGCAGACCCTCCAACCCCTCTCTGATTTCCTGCCCTCAGAAGCAGGCGCAGAACCACCTGTCCTCCCTGTGGGAGCCTGGGGTGAAGGCTCTGCGGTGGGAATCTTTCCTCCAACGCACCAGCCCCAAGTCAACTTGCAAGGGATAGGCTTGTGTTTGCCGAACGTTTTAATGATGAAAAGTACAGAAAGCACACCCTCCAGACACCCCTGGGTCCCCCTGCCCTCATGCAGCTCCTCTGACCTCCTCATTCCTCCCTCCTGTGCTCACAGCAGGCCCAGCTCTTCTAAGAACCCGCTTCCAGAAAACAAGGACTGGGCCTTGCTCTCGCAGATGTTTTCACTCCGGATCTCTCGCAAGACGTTGAGAAGAAAGAAGCCCCCATGAAGAGAGTGGAGGGGGTTCATGGTCACGTTCAGGGACTTGGCTTTGGGGTGGAGAGGCTGAAGGTCGCCCCTCTTCTTCTTTTTCTTCCCCCAAGGAATTCATGCCCTCCTGCTCCTCACTCCTCTCTCCCTGGGGCTCCAGGCATGACCGGTGTCCTCCATCCTTTAGGACTGTCTCTCTGGGCCGGTGTGGGTATCAAGAGTAAAGTTTCGGGATCTGTCGTCATCCATGACCGTCGAGCCAGACAGGACTGTCCCGGGGTGAGGTGGTGTTAGGAGCTGGATTCTGCAAGACAGGGAGCACTGGGGCAGTCAGGCTGGTCCCGAAGGAGCAGCTGCCCATCCCCCCACCCCTCCGTTCCATGGCGAAGGTCATGGTCAGTCCCAAGGGCTCAAGTCCAGAGACAGCACGCACTCTCTGAGCATGGGCCAATTGCTCCCCTGGCAACCAGTCCCCGAACACTTTTCTGAAAACAGCCTTTTCAGGACAAGGTGTGTGCACGTGCTGGGGCACCTGGCGAGTGGCTTCCCGAGGGCTTTGGCACAGATGCGAGAAAAGATGTTCTGGGTCAGTGCTGAAAGGGCCATTTTTGCATAAAGATCAATTCTGAATAATTTAGAATGTTTAGGGGTTACTTTGTTTTCTATTCAAAATATAAGCTGTCCTAAATACTCTTAAGGAAAACTGTTTTCTTATTAACATAGGTTATTTGCTTTACTGAAAAAGAGACTACCAGTAAGACAATCAGCAAGGCTTTTTGGGCACAAAATGTCTGTGTCCGGGCATATTTATGAAGGTAAAACACAGAAGACAGAAGAGGCCCCTTCATCTCTCATCTTGAAATGTGTTGCAGGCCATACTGGGAAGCTTAGGCTGGGGAGGCATCGTCCCTAAGCCAAGAGTTAGGTGAATTAGTCCTCAATGATCTAGTTAATACCACATTTTGCAGGTGGGTAAATCAAGGCCCCAGGAGGCCTCGTGATGGCCAGCTGGAGTCACAGAGCTCTGCAGAGCCACGGGGGTTAGAGGACCCCGGTATCCTGACCTCCAGCCCAACCACCCTTCAGGGGACAGGGAGGGCTCCCTAAAGGTGGCTGCTCCCCGACTCTCCTTCCCTTCCCCCCTCTGCCAGGGCAGTACTTTCACCTGTGACAATGAGGGTGGCGGTGCTGATGGCCTGACCCAGCGCATTCTCCGCCACTGCCTTGTACTGGCCGCTGTCCTTGGGGGAGACGCTGGGGATGACGAGGGAGCACACACCCAGCACGTCAGTGCTGTACACGGCAGGGTTTCCAGCCAGGCTCTGGTCGTCCTTGAACCAGGTGACATAGGGCCGCGGCCAGCCCTGCACAGCACAGCTCATGCAGCACTCGCAGCCCTGCGGCAGCAGGTGGGTCCGCAGCCCCACCAGGAACCGGGGCTTCTGGCTCAGGTTAGGCTCCCGGTAGCTTGGAGCCTTCACCGTGAACCTTTCTGTGGCAGAAACCAGGGCGAGAGGGAGAAGGGTCGGTAATCAAGGAAGGGATGGCCAAGGCACAAGTCAGGGTAACCGGTTCCTGGTGGAACTTAGGCACTTTCTGGGTCCTTCTGCCACATCTTACCGTCAATTTGGCCCCCATAGCTGGACTCACTTTTTTATCCTTTTCTTAAAATGCATTTGGATTTTTTTTTCTATAAGCTAACACCCATTCACTGTGAACAAACTAGAATGTGTAAGAAAGTCAAAGCAGGAAGGAATCAAAACCAAGCATAATGTCACTGCCTTCAATGACCAGAGCTAACATTTTGGTGTGGAACCTCTCAGACATTTTTGTGTTTTAGAAATATGGAATCACACATTCAATTTTATTATTTGTTTTTTCTAGCGATTAGTCTGAAGGCCCACATCTGTTTGATTGTAAAATACACTTGGTTTTCAGAGAAACATTAACCTCTCTTTGCCATACGGCCTGCTGCTGATTTGAACCTCACCCAAAGGCATCCTGGACACGCAGACACCCACAGCCCTCTGCCCTCTCCAGACCCACCCTGAGTCAGGGACACAGAGGATAGCAGTGCAGGTGGGTTGAGCCAGCTGGGAAGCTGAGCAGGTGGGGAGCTGGGCAGGTGGGGAGGAGGGCAGGGCAACAGCTCTTGGCCTCCACCTTGTGGTGGGGCCAGTGACATGTTAAGCCACACTGGGCCACCTCTGCCGGGGCTGCCCCAGATGCAGCCCGCGTCCCCGAGAGCTCACCTCGCTGCCGGGGGATACACCAGGGCTGGCTGGTGTCCGAGGGCAGGCTGGCCCCCAGCTCATTCTTGGCCACCACCCGGAAGTGGTACTCGCGGCCAGGGAGCACGCCCAGGAGGGTGAAGTGGTTGGTGTGCACGCGGTCAGCCGCCTGGCGCCAGGGCCCTTGCACCGAGGAGCGTGTCAGCACCTCATAGTACAGGGGGACACCCCCGGCCTCGTCTGGAGAGGGTTCCCACTCGGCCGTCACTGTCCCGGGCACGTTCTCCTGCAGGCGGATGGGCCCAGGTGCCTTCGGACACGCTGCACGAGAGAGCAAAGGCAGCCGAGTTTGGGGGGGGACCCAGCAGGGCACCCCAGAATGCCCACAGGCTTCTTCATGACCCTCCCCCAGGACCCCAAGTCTTCTGGGGTCCTGGGGAATGCAGTCTGGCCATGTTGGCAGCTGGAGCCAGATAGAGGTCCGCTGGGGGGTGTACAGTGATCTCTAGGGCATGGAAAGCCTCTCCAACAAGACTCATTTGAAATCACTCTGACTTGTAAGTAAGATGACCCAGGACATGGACAGTGGAGGGGCTTTCACAAGACCGAGTTGCAGAGGCCCCAGTTAGCCACTGGTCGTTTCTGTGTTCCAGAAGCTCCTCCGGGGTGAGCAGGGGCTGTGCAGGAGTCCCCGTGGGGAGGGCAACAGTTTTCCTGTACAAGGACCACACACAGTCCTTCCGAGGCTCTTTCAAGTGAGGTAATGGTGAGGACTGTCTCTGCTCACTGATAGTCCCAGATGGGGGAAGGGCCATGGCTTAACGGTCCCTAAGTCTGGGGCAGAAGAATAATGGACAACCCCCCCCCCCGCCAGGCCCCACCCCAGACTCTCCCTCTGCCTTTCTTCCTTCCTTTCCTCCTGCTCTCAGGAAGGGCTGGTGGTGTCGTCCCCTGTGTACCCAGGTTTGGGAGAATAGCTGAGACATGTGACCAGGACAGCTGGAGAGCTCCACGCCTTGGTGAGTAGCAAGCTGGTGTCAGGAGCCCGTGCCCGGGGCCGGCCTCACCTGCCACCCTGAGGGAGAAGCGGTAGAGAGCCTCTGTGCCCTGCAGGCTCCTCAGCAGCACGGTGTAGACGCCACTGTCTGAGAGGCTGGCCACAGGAATCAGAAGCTGAGTGAGGCCCTCCTTGGTGGAGGTCACATTACTTTTAAGCAAGGGCAAGCCGTCCTTCAGCCAGGTCACCTCAGGCATGGGGACGGCCTGGGAAATGAGAGGAAAGAACAGTAAAGGGGGGACATTTCGTGGGAGGGATGGCATTGAAGCTGGGCCTAAGGTATAAGTGGGGAGAAGGGCATTCCCGGGGGAGAAATGTCTGAGCAAAAGCACAGAGGTGGGAGATGCCTACCTAGGGAGAGGCTGCTTGAGAGAGGGATCCAGGGAGGTACGGGAGGGGGTGTGGGGTAGCGAGGAAGCAGGAAAGGGGGAGTAAGGCAAACCGCCAAGTCCCCGTGAGAGCCTCTGGCACCGTCACACTGGGCATCAGAGTCAGACGGGGATGCGGACAGTCACTTACCTCACAGGAGTGTTCTGAGGATTGAAGGAGTTAATAATACATGGAAAGTATAGAGAACAGGGCTGAGGAACACTCAGTGTATGTATGAAATATTTTGTCACATTACGTCATATTACGGTCTAATAGTTAAGAACATGTAATTTAGAATTATATCTGGGTTTGAATCAGGTGCTGCCGCCTATGAGTTCCCACAGAGATGATGATTTTAATAACAGTAACAACAACAACAACAATTAGTACTAGATAACACAACTGGGTTCTTGCCTATGTCAAGCACTACTTATGTGCTTTCAGTGTATTAATTCCTTGAATCCTCAGAAAAATCCTTGGAGGGAAGTTACTGTTATCCCCATCTGACAGATGAGGAAGCTGGAACACAGAGAGGTTAAGAGAGTTGTCCGAAGTCAAACAGCTAGTAAGTAATGATGCTAGAATCTGACCCCAGGCCCTCTGTGATTCCAGCCCCCACACTCTACGGCTCTACTATCCCACAGGGAAGGTGGTGTTGGTGGAGGACCATCCCGAGTCAAACGCAGTTCATGTGCCTGTACCGTACTCATACTCAGGACTTTGTAAAGTCAGAACGGACTGTCCGTGCTGCAGCCGCACTGAATTCCCATACTGAGGAGAGAGGAAAGGGGGCGTCATAGCTTAGAGGCGCAGTAACAGAAGTGACCACTAGAGGGAGGTGTAGATGAGCGCCGAATGGCCACCCAGTGGCCTGGTGTGGATCCTGTCTTCAAGGAGGACTCTCTTCCAGCCTCACTCTGGCTTGATTTCCAGCACAAGACTGGGCCACCAGTCGGGGACCAAAAGGGGGGGGGAGGTGAAAGAGAATTACAGGGCTGACTCTGGCTCCCTTGGCCACTCTGGGCCCCTCTCCCCACTCCCCATTAGCTATACTCACTTCAAAGGAGACAGGCATACGAATGGTCTCCCCAGCTCTGACCATCAGCGAGTCCCGTCTGCTGGAGTCCATCAGGAACTTGGGACGGACTGGAACACACAAGATGGCTTGTTACCTCCCTCCACACTTGGGCCCCTCCACACATACGGGTGGCATGACCCAGGGCAAAGCCCTTTGACCTCAGCTTCCTTATTTGCAACTTGGGGGTAAATATCACTAACCCTCTAGGATTTTTAGGAGTTGTAATGAGAAAACATTTCTGAATGGGCCTGCCTCATCCAGTGCCTGGCTCCTAACAGGTGCTCGATCAAGGGCACATCATTAAACCAGGAAGAGGATCCTGGCCGCTGCTCAGAGGTCCCGCTCAGGAAGGGCCTTTGGGAAGCGGGAGGCGATGGCACTCACCAGCAACGGGCATGACTTGCACTAACGTGTCCAGGGAGGTGGGCTGGCCACGGCCTCCATCGTTGACAGCTGTCACCCTCACGAAGTAGCTCTCTTGGGGCCGAAGCCCTTTGGCAGTGAAGGTGGTGACTGGCACGGTGCCCTCGTGGCAGGGGCTCCACTGCAGACTGTCTGAGCCACGAAGCTCCACCACATAGCCCTGGGCTGTATCCCCGTCCTGTGTGTCTGGCTGGGCCCAGCTCAAGGTGATGCTAGTGTGCGATGTGTCTGTGACTTGGAGGTCCCGCACAGGCCCGGGGGGTCCTGGCCGGGCACCGAGGGAAGATCAGGAATTCCGGCACCCTCTCTTGAGGAAGGCCACTCCATGTGGCTGTTCATTAGTTTTCCTGTGGGGGGCTGGGAATTTCTTCACCCACCTGTTAGCCCACTTCCCCTAACCACCCTTCAGTAATTCCTGAAATCTGGCATATTAGTTGATGACTCCCTGGGCTCTATGATCCCTGAAGACTAGAATTCTGAATCTTTTGATTCTGAGCTCTAAGTTCGTCAGGACTGCCTTGTGGGCACTCAGTCCCTTCTTATTTTTTACCTGTTAAGTGGGAAGGAAAATAACACAGGCCCTACCCAGCCACAGGGGTTTTGGAACAAAGGTATGATGTGTGTAAAGGGCTTTGTCCATTGCAGAGCCGTCTACTCAAGCTGGTTGCACAGTGGACTCTTGTGGGAAGCCTTGAAGACCCTGGTGCCCAGGTCCCATGCCCAGAGGCGTGGCTGGGGTGCAGCCCAGGCAGCTGGAGTTTTTAAGAGCTGCCCAGGTGTTTCTAAATCTGGGCTAGGATAGTGCTTCTCTTAAGTTTAATTTGTTTATAAGCCACTGGGAGATTTGATTAAGACTACAGATCCTAATACAGAAGGCCTGGGTGGGGCCTGAGACTCTGCATTCCTAACAAGCCCCCGGGTCAGGCTGCCGGTCGGTGATCATACTCAGCAGCGAGGGCCTAGGAACGGTCGTGATCCGGGCGGCTGCTGTAGTCACTGCTCTGGCGGCTTGCTGTCCCCACTCCCTATCAGTGATCAGAGGGAGAGAGGCAGATAAACTAGGATGGGGTGGATCCCCTTGCCAGGAGTAAAATGCATGGGTCTGCTTTCCCCTCTGCATTCCACACTCTGCCCTTTTTAGGACTAAAACTTAGACACCATTCGATCTGTTAAACTTGTACAATGTTCTATTTTTTTTTTTTTTCTGGATTCATTCTAACAGCCCAGACCCGTACCGTGCACCAGGCCCTGTAGGGATACAAAGGTGCTCTCAAGGTGACCATGTGGCCAGTCCGGCAAGTGCCAGAAATGTGCTACTGCCTTGATGGCTTGTCACTAGCTGGCTCATAGGGCTCATGAAGCCTACAGAGCAGCATTTCCTAAGCCCTATGCCTCGGAATGAGGTTTTTGAAGGGGGTTTTGTGAAGAAGGTATTCTCTACTCAAATTTGGAAAATGTGGCTCAAAGTAGGACAGGTCCCTTTCGTGCAGGTCTTGGGAATATCACAGGCTACGTGTTAGAAACATCTTTGATCACAGATTTTTTTGGCTGTTTACATTGTTCTCAGCATGTCTATTGACATCTGTCTTTGCTGGATGTCTGAAATCACAGAGAGGGAAATGCAGTTCTAGACCGGAAGCAGAGGCCATCATTTTTTACCTAGTTCCTGGCACAATGTCAGCCATTGTGATTAAAGGCAATGAACAAAGATCTGCTGGATAGTTAGGAATGAGGTTCCATGGTGACCTCCCGCCTGCCCCATGGTGATGACAAGCCCTCACTGGGGTGGGTGGACGTTTATGGGATGAGAATAGGTGGGCCTGACCTGCCCAGAGGCTGAAGAGTGAGTTAAGTGATCTTGGGAAGAGATCTTCTAATCCCCACTGCCTGGCCTCTGTGCCTGTTTGATCTCAATCCTCCAGGGCCCCTAAAATACACCTTACTCCAGAGGCCCTTTGACCTTTGTCTTCCAGCCTTCCTGACCATGGCCTTCAGGACCAACCCTGACCTTCTTATAGCCCCTGTCTTGTCCCACGGGCTCCAGAGCTATCCCCTGCTCGTCACTACCCCCACCCAACCTGGGCTGGTGTTCTACTTACTCATGGGGTCCCGAGCAAAGACGGCATCCGATGGAGGCCCAGGCTCTCCGGGGCCAGAGGGAGACACAGCTGTGACCCGAAACTCATATTGACAGCCCTGTCGCACATCTGCCACGGTCCACCTCCTCTCTGTGAAAAGCCCACCCCACGTTTGTTGGCCTGTGACAGGACCAGGCCATGGGCACACAGATGGCCTCGTGCCTCCAAGCTCTGAAAAAGACCAAGCCTAGGGCCCCGACACATTCTTCCTCTCCAGCCAGCTGGCTAGGGGTGACTCGGAGGTCTCCAAGGTAAAAAGAGCAATGCTCAGAGTGTGAGAGGCCTCATTCCCTGTCTGGTTCTGCCACTAACTTGCTGGGTGGTCTTGGACAAGTGCCTTAATCTCTCTGGTTCTCTCTGCCTTGCAGACTTCTAAAGGTTGTTACAAAACTATATAGATTTATAAATAAGACAGAATGACTAGGAGAGTGAAGTTGGAAGAGTGCCCTTAGTTCACCACCCTCTTTGCAGAGATGAGGATCCTGAGGTCCTAAGTGACACAGCCCTGGCTAGAAACCCGGTCTCTTGACAAGATGCTCGGGGCTTGGGATCTGTTCTTTCTCCTGCAAACGTTGGCTTGGATGTTTCTGAGTTCTTTCTGATCTCAGAAAGCAGTTTCCTGGAAACTGTAGGGAAGTGAGTAGGACAGGGAACACGTCTTCTCATCTTATGGATGAGAAAGGTAAGATCCAGAGAAAAGAGCACACTGCCCGAGGTCAAGGCCAGAAGGAGACGGGTCAGGGCTAATAGCTCCAGCTCTGGCTTCTGTCCTGAAACTTCTGTTAAAACAGGGTTTCCTAACCTTAGCCATATTGGCATTTGTAGCCAGATAATTCTGTGTTTGGGGACATGGGAATGGTACAGGGGCGTGGCCCTGTGAACTGCAGGGTGTCTAGCAGCATCTCTGACCTCTTCACACTAGTGCTACCCCACAGCTTCCCGCACTTCAGTTATGACAACCCCAAATTGCCAGACAATTGCCAAATGCCCCCAAGGGGTGAAACCTCCCCAAGTGAGACCTGCTGTACTAAAGGGACTGGCAAGCTGGTGGCACAGGGCCCTGGAGCCAGGAGGTCATGCAGGGAAGCTGTGGAGGCCAGGATAATGCAGAGTGTCCCTTCAGGCCCACTCACCAGGCACGGGCTGGGCATTCACTGCTGTCCAGGCGCTGCTTCCCCTCTTGCGCTTCTCAATCAGGTAGCCCAGGATATGGGCACTGCCAGGGCCCCGAGGTGCTGTCCACGTCAGCGTGATGCCCTGGCTGGAGGCCGACTGGATGGCTGGGCTTGAAGGGGGCCCAGGGAGAGCTGGTCGGGGGGTAGGGAGAGAAGGTGCAGGTCAGCCCCAGAGGCCAAGGAAAGGTGCCAGTTCACAGCAAGGTCCTGGGGGACAGCAAGTGGGACACCTGGGAGCAGGCCACACTGTTCTTTCCCAGGCGGTGTCAGGGGTGCTGAGCCAGCCTGCCCTAGGACACTGTTCTGGCTGTGGCCTAGGAGCCTTAGAGGCAGCCCGGAGGCCCCTCAGCCTCAGGTCTCCTGACAGATGCTTCAGAGGGAGTGCATCTGATGGAGGATGGTGTCTGCCTCACCCAGGTTCCTGAGAAAGTGCGCTCTGCGTGTCCACCCCAACTCCTGGAGAGCCCTGGCTGGGAGAAGACCCCATGACCCTTGTTTCCTAATCACCTGCCAAATCCCAAGTGAACCTACGTGAGGAGTCTCCACAGTGCTCTCTACGAGGGCCCCAAGACGCCCCCCCACCATTGCATCCCTCAGTGTCTGGGGCAGCCCTGCCCACCCTCTGGGAATGCTAAGGCCCGGTCCATCCTCTTACCCTTAGGAGCCACCAGCACCTCTGTGGACTCCAAGGCTTCCCCAGCCCCCTCAGAGGTCACAGCTCGCACCCGGAAGGTGTATTTCCTGCCCTGCTCCACGTGGGCATCGGTAAAGGTGGTGCTGCCGGCAGGGGGCTCGCCCACCTTCAGCCAAGCGGTCCGGCCGGCTTGCCGCCTCTCCACCACGTAGTGCTCCAAGGCCCGGCCCCCGTCGTCCTTTGGGGGCCGCCAGTGGAGGCAGACACCAGCCCCCCGGCGATCCTCTACCTCCAGGGGACCTTGTGGGGCCTGGGGCTTGTCTGGGGTCCCACCGAGAGGGGCAGGAAGAGAAGGGGGAGTCAAAGGAGCTGGAGGGGAGAGGTACGAGACCTCCCCCCTCATCAGCGGATAGGCCCGCTACAGGGTGGAATGCCCAGAGAGCCTCGGGTATTACCTGGAGGTATCCCCCCTCCCCACACACACACCCAGAGGTGACCGGGATGCATCCCTGTGGCCAGTACAGGCACCTGCTCGGCTCTCTGGCCATGGGCAGTCCTAACTTGCTGGCACTGCTCAAGGCTGAGGGCCACCATCCCACCCCAGTGGTCCCCCACCCCACCCCGGGCCCAGTGCCTTAGCTCCCAGAGAAGAGCCACCACCCCTGTCTTCTTCCTAACCAGTCTGAGGAGGGGAGAGAGGACAAGGTGGAGTGGGTTTGTATCTTAGAGAACATGCAAATGAGGGTCGGGACTGTGGGGCACACACTGGGCCTGCTCCTGCCAGCAGGGAGGCCCCAGAACCCTGGGAGCGCTCGGGCCTCGGCTGGGGAGAAGGCTGGGGCTGGCACCTATAACCTGCAGGGTGAGCTCAGCCTGCACAGAGCCGCCCTCGCTCTTCAGTGTCACGCGGTACCGGCCACCGTCCTTCCTGCCGGCGCTGGAGAGGCACAGCCGCGTGAAGCCTTCCCCCAGGGCCACCTGCGCCCCCTGGCGGCGGCCGCTGTCCACCACTTCGGTCCCGTCCTTCTTCCAGGAAGCCTGAACTGGGAGGCGGCTCTGGAAGGGGATCTTCACCGTCACCGGCTTCCCAGCCTTGACCACCAGAGGCTCTCTCAGTTTCTCTGTCACATCAGCAGCGATTACGGGGCGATCTAGAGATATAACGGGGCCAGGGAGTCAAAGGCAGCCTGGGCGCTGTGCACCGGGGGTGTGGGGAAAGAGGACCCGGGGGAGGAAGTGTAGGCTGAGAATAAAGACCGCCCCCCCCTCCGTGAGGACTGTGGAAGGGATGCGTGGGCTTCGTCTGCAGCAGGAGGCACCAGGGCTAGACCTTCCCAAGGACTTCCTGACAAAGAATAGGGAGGATATGGCTGCCTTTTTAGAAAGTCTTTCTCAGACTGAGGATGAGATTAGGCACTGGCTGCAGACCCCCTGGAGCAGAGAGCCTGTGGAGCAGGGGCGGGGGTGGGGCTGAGCCTCACCGTGGACACTCAGGGTGGCCTCGCTCTGCTGGTTGCCGGCTACAAAGGTGTACCTCCCAGCCTGGGTCCCCTGCACGTGGGCAATGAGGAGCTTGTGCACGAGACCATCTTGCTCAAAGACGACTCCATCCTGGGCGCTGAGCTGCGAACAAGGGCCGTAGAAGAGACCATCATCCCCATCCTGCCCAGCTCCCCCAGGCGGGGGGGGGGGGGAGCAGGGCCCCTTACTAATGCAGTGTAGGAACTGTAGTAACAGTGGCGTCCAGGAAACCCTTGCACGCCCCAGGTGCACACTAGTGCCCTCCAAGCTCAGCCCTCATTTAATGTTGCAACGACCTTATGTCAGTATTATTATTGGCCCCATCTTATAGGTGAAACCAGAGGTAAGAGGCGGAGCTGGGATTTGAAGCCTGGTCTAGTGGGCGCCAAGGCCCGCGCCCTAGAGCACCGTGATATCGTCGGTCCTCCTGAGAGGACAGCCGTGGCAGAGGACAGAAGGGCTATAGGACAGAAGAGCTGTTCTGAGAGAGGAGAGGTCCTGTCTGGCTGGATTGAGGTGGCGTTTGTACCACACCTTGAAGGACAGTGGAATTCAAGAGGTGTTGGGACACAACAGGCATTTTAGATGAGGAGGAGGCATCTGGGAGAGGAAGGGGTGTGTCCAGGGGGAAGTGAAGAGGGTACACATCTACCTAAAAATCAGGTTTTATTTTAAAAACATCAACATGCTGGCTATTTAGACAAATCACAGGATAGGTGCTCTAGTAATATGAAGAATGAAAAATCTTGGGGCGCCTGGGTGGCTCAGTCGGTTAAGCATCTGCCTTTGGCTCAGGTCACAATCCCGGGGTCCTGGGATCGAGCCCAACCCTGCGCTCCCTGCTCAGCCTCCGTGGGGAGTCTGCTTCTTCCTCTGTCCCTCCCCGCCTCCCCGGCTTGTGCGCTCTCACTCTCTCAAATAAAATCTTTAAAAAAGAATAAAAAATCTTTCTTGCAAAGTCTCTACCCTCTATTCTTTACTGCTTCACCCCCCCCCAATAAACTGTCAGTAAAGCATGGGGGGCAGTACCTTGACTCCATCTTTAAACCAGGCACCGGGGCCCAGGTCGCGGGTGAGGGTACAGGAGAGCACAGCAGCCTCTCCCTGCTGCACTTCTGTGTCAGCCAGGCCCTGGGAGAAGTAGTCCCTGGGGCCTGGAGAGACAAGAGGGAGTCGGGAGCTGGTCACCCAGGGATTTCCGCCAACGCCCAGCCTCCCAGACCGTTGCCTACACTGAGCTCTGGGAGGCCACCGTGTCCTGCCAACTGGGCTGAGCCCGTGCCAGCCAAACCAAAGCTTCCATTTTTCTCCACAGGACCTAGGGTGGTGTGGGGGACCTGGGGTGTGAGGTGGACAAAGGGTCCCCCTCGAGTACGCAGACAGGAAGTCTGAGTAACCCACAAGGTGTATTTCAACAGCTCCAGGTCTTTGGACGTAGACTGTTAAGACAGAGACCCCGAGACCTCTCGGCCCCATGCGGTCTGGGGTCCACCTGCATAAGGAGGAAGGGGTTTTCCTGGATGGAAAGAGATCCCTGAAAACGGGGGGCACTGGCAGGGACAATCTCCTGGGGCTGGAGGCAGAAGTGAGACTGACGCAGTCATCCCTGTCCCCCTGGGCTCTACCCCACCAGAGCCATTCCCGTGAGAAATACCTACCTTGGGCCTCCTTGGAGAAACCGTCAGTGCCAGGTTTGTGTCTGGATCTGGGACTCTGGGTGGCGTCCCTCCCCTGACCACAGATGTCTGACCTGCCCTCCAGGCCACCTCTCCTGCTACCGAGATGACTCAGTGGCTCCCAACTCTGGTCTTTGTGCAGAGTCACCCTTCTGCTCTCTCGGTCCTCTCCTCCCAGTGGCTGCCCCGAGGCTCTGACCTTGTCTGTTCCCCTTCCCTTTGCTGTTCCAGCCTCCACCCCCAACCATCTTTGAGAACTGCTGAACTGGCCAGGCCTTCTGTCTGACCCTCCAGACTCTTCTGCTCCCCATCTCTCATACTCCTTTAGGGTCCCTGGACCTTGGGGTCTGTCATTCTCAGCCCCCAGGGGCCCCTGATATCCCAGGGACCCTCTTTCTCCTCTTTGCCCTTTGTCTAGCTGAAAGCCCAGGCCCTGGATACCCCCTGATCTGTCCATAGAGTCTTTTCCACCCAAGGGACCATCTAGACGATTCCAGGCTCCCCGAGGCCCTAAATCCCCAGGTTTTTGGGTGAGACTCTTCTCCCTATCAGTGAAATTCCCCTTATCCAGGATGCCTGAGTCCTCTGAACCAGTAGACCTGCCCCTTCCAACACCTGAAACTTTGCTATCTAGGAACCGTGGGTCTTGACGCCGACCAGCCCCTTCTTGGCCTGGAGCATGCTCTATGATTTCTTGGCTCCTGGGTCCACCTTCATATCCCACTCCAGCCTGTGTGCCCGTTACTCTGAACTTCCCTGAAGCATCTCTGTAGCCCACCTCACCTTCTGACCCCATTTCTCCAGATCCTCCTGAGCCTCCCCTATAATCTGCCTTACTTCCTGACCCCAGTCCCCTAGCAGCCCCCAAACCATCCCTACGGCCTGCTTCATCTCCTGACCTGAGTCTCCCAGAACTCCCCAAACCATCCTTATAACCTGCCTCTCCACCTGACCCAAGTCTCCCAGAACTCCCCAAACCATCCTTATAACCTGCCTCTCCCCCTGACCCAAGTCTCCCAGAAACCCCCAAACCATCCTTATAACCTGCCTCTCCCCCTGACCCAAGTCTCCCAGAAACCCCCAAACCATCTTTATAACCTTTGTCACCTCTTGGCCCAATTCTCTCAGACTCCCCCAAGCCAGCCCCATAACCTGCTTTACTCCCTGCCCCCATTCTCTCAGAACCCCCCAAACCATCCTTATAACCTGCATCACCCCCTGACCCAATTCTTCCAGACTCTACCAAGCCATCTCCATAACCTGCCTCACCCTCTATCCCCATTCTTCCAGAACCCCCCAAACCATCCTTATAACCTGCCTCACCCCCTGACCCAACTCTTCTAGGACCTCCCAAGCCATCCCGATAACCTGTACCTCCTGGCCCCATTTTCTCAGAACCTCCCAAGCCATCCACATCACCTGCCTCACCCCCCATCCCCATTCTGCCAGAACCCCCCAAACCATCCTTAAAATGTGCCTCACCCCTTGACCCAATTCTACCAGAACCTTCCAAGCTGTCCCCATAGCCTTTCTCACCCTTTGACCCACTTCTCCCAGGATCCCCTAAGCCATCCCCATGACCTGCCTCATCCTCTGTTCCCATTCTCCCAGAATGCCCCAGACCATCGCCATAACCTACCTCATCCCCTGATCCAATTCTTCCAGAAATCCCCAAGCCATCCTTATAATGTTCCTCACCCCCTGCCCCCATTCTCCCAGAACCCATTAAGCCATTCTTATAAGCTGTCCCACCCCCCATCCCCATTCTCCCAGATTCCCCTAAGCCATCCCCATAACCAGCTTCACCCCCCATCTCCATTCTCCCAGAACCCCCCAAACCATCCCTATAACCTGCGTCATCCTTTGACCCAATTCTCCCAGAGTCTCTCAAGCCATCACCATAACTTTCTTCACCCCCTTCCCCTATTCTCTTGGAACCCCCCAAACCATCCTTATAACCTATCTCACACTTTGATCCAATTTTCCCAGAATCCCCCAAGCTATTCCCATAACCTGCCTCACCACCTGACCCAATTCTCCCAGGACCTCCTAAGCC